AGTTGTGCTTGGCGTTGAATATCTTAAAATAAATTTTAGTCCACCTCAATCTCAGACGAACATTCCTCTTATTCAAGTATCGTCTTTTTAGCCTCACCATTCTTCGGTTCTTCATCCTGGCAACTTCTGATGTCATTATCCTTGTAATGGCTTGAAGGCCCCTCCAACATTGCTTTTACTCCACTATCAAGTGTTATGGTACGTCACGTCTCAAATGTTTACTTTAAAGCTTGTGACTAATCAAAACAGAGTTTATATCTCTGAAATTTCTCTGCTCAATTGTATCCATTTAGGAACCTAGTAGAGATGCATAATAAAACCAATCAATTTAAAATCTTGACAAGTGGTTTAGCCAGAAGCGTTGCAAACTTCATGTGACATCTTATTTTTAGAAAAATCTTCTCTTCATATCGAGTGTGACCTTATTCAAATCAACATTTTTGGCGCTATCTGGTTCCAACTAATGCCTCTAACTAATAAGAAATGTTTATTTACACCTTCTTTTATAGGGCAAATAATCTTAGGATTTTTATTTTCACTTATGATTTATTTCCATTGTATTTTATAAATAGGTAACCACAATCAAGTTGCTTATAAGTGCAGAATTAATATTTTCAAAATCGTTCATTACAGGATTTATTTCGTATTAGCGATGCTAACTATTAGAAAACCTCTTCTGCATTTAGCTACATCACTTCCGATTTGTGCTTAACCCACTGATGGCTGCTCTGCTAGTGATGAAATGAAGACAAGCCTTGTTTTTAATGCAGAATTTCGCTCAATTATCCATCTTATAAATATCCAGACCATTCTTTTAATTTTTCCTGGGTCTAGTCATTATCATATAAGAGTGTTTATTCTAAGATTTTAGACTTCGGGGGCAATGTTACTACTTTCGACACTTGATTGTGCGGCCATTTGTCTTAAGGGACTGCAAGACATTATATAAAAGTGAAACATCCCCCAACTACAATCTCTTTATTTATTGTGAGGTGCCCAAGGCAAGTGGAGACTATGCTCCTTTCTGATTTATAATCCATTTTTGGATAAAAGAGTGAAATTTTGATGCAAGTGCTGAGCATTGTAAGATAAAGATTAACTGAGATGTTTCTTTTATTAGAAGATTATCAGTTGTGTTTACACCAATGCAAGCTGGAGCAAAGAGAAATCCAGTAGTTTTCGAAATTATTTTTTATAAGCTTTGGTAGCCTCTCACTAATAGAAATAGTACTCTCAGCTGTACACTCCACCCATAACAGAGAACTGGATTAAATTTCTTTTCAAATCATACAAATTGAGCCGATCTATCTGGCATCTTATACTGATCGCCTCCTGGGCTAAGTTGATTTTACTTCCTTGCCGAGTTCATGAAGGGTTATTTTTTCTTGCCTCCTGCGTGAACTGGATTCATTTTATTCCAAGCTGGAGGAATTAGGTCAT